CAAAGCTTCAGGCATTGATGGCGTAACAAGTGAGCATATTGCGTTCGCTAGCGACCTTATCACAAAATGCCTTTGTGAGCTTTACAATGCGATTGTGACGTTAGGAACTGTTCCTTCTACGTGGAAACAAGGATTGATTGTCCCCATATACAAAGGTGGTGATAAACCCAAAAATTCTTGCAATAGTTACAGGCCTGTTGCTCTTCTGCCTTGCATTTACAAACTGTTTGAGAAAATTCTGTCTAATAGAATATCTACATTAGAAACAACCAATACCTTCCCCAATATACAACAACAAGGTTTCCAAAAACATTTAGGATGTATAACTGCTCCATTCAATCTTCATGAAACATTGAACCATAATCTTGAACAAGGCAGCAACACATATATCAGTTATTTGGACACAAGTAAAGCTTTCGATACAGTTTGGAAACAGGGACTGATGTAGAAACTCCATAACCTAGGTATTAAAGGCAAATTATGGCAGATTATCGACGACTGCCACTGCAATACTGTAAGTGCCGTTATCGTAAACCAAAAACAATCCAGATGGTTTGATGTTCATCAAGGGGTCAGGCAAGGTGGCGTCTTGTCAGCATTTTTATACCTTGTTTTTGTCAACGAACTTTTGGACGAACTAGAACACTGCAATTCAACATCACTAAAATGCGTTCTGGATCCCAAATACGCGAGTCCTACTCTAGCTGACGATATTTCCTGCATCGCCACATCCCCAGCAAATCTCAGTCCATGATGGATATAGCTTACGCATATGCATGCAAATGGCGCTTTACATTCAACGTATCAAAATCCTGCGTTCTAAAATTCCGTGCCAAACACAATAGTGCTCCGGATAAACCAATACTTCTTGGGATCTCTGAAATACCATACGGCCAAAAATACAATCATTTGGGTATTATCATAAATGACAAAGCAAAAACAAAAGACCGCATCTTGAACGCATGCAACAAAGGGTGGAAATCCTTCTATGGCCTATCTGACATCGATATCTCGTGTGTTAACCCTCTTACTATGACTATCTCTATAAAACGATTGTCCTTCCATCTGTACTCTACGGGTGTGAATTGTGGAGCAGTTTAACACAAGAGGATCACAGGCGTTTAAGCACCTTTCAACATGGGGTTTGCAAAGCTGTCCTAAATCTGCCCAAGATCACTCGATCTGACATGTGTGAACAGCTTTTGGATATACTCCCCATCCATGCCGAAATCGACGCCAGAAAACTATTGTTTTTAGGAAGGTTATGCAACATGAGCACTACAAACGTGCAAAACGCAACTTTCGAAATGCCCAAAACTAAAGAAATATCTAAAATTTGTTCACCGAGATCTGGATGAAGCAGCGGAAATGGACATACGGTTATTTTGGCGTCTTGTCAAACAAAGGCGACCTCGACCTTCTAGAATATATCCAGAAATTTGCGACGCCAGTGGTACAACCCACAACGATCCCGACGGCGTAGCGAATGCTTCTGCAGAATTTTATGAGGAGATTTACCGCCCATTGGAAGACGATCATTTTGACAATCGCTTTAAACACGTCATCGAGAGTCATTATGCACGCATAAAAACAAGTGTTTCTAAATCTTCCAGTGAAAATGACATTACCCAAAATAATGTAATAAGTGCGATCTCTTCTCTTAAAATGCGCAAAGCTCCAGGCATTGATGGCGTAACAAGTCAGCACATTGCGTTCGCTAGCGACCTTATCACAAAATGCCTTTGTGAACTTTACAATGCGATTGTGACGTTAGGAACTGTTCCTTCTACGTGGAAACAAGGATTGATTGTCCCCATATACAAAGGTGGTGATAAACCCAAAAATTCTTGCAATAGTTACAGGCCTGTTGCTCTTCTGCCTTGCATTTACAAACTGTTTGAGAAAATTCTGTCTAATAGAATATCTACATTAGAAACAACCAATACCTTCCCCAATATACAACAACAAGGTTTCCAAAAACATTTAGGATGTATAACTGCTCCATTCAATCTTCATGAAACATTGAACCATAATCTTGAACATGGCAGCAACACATATATCAGTTATTTGGACACAAGTAAAGCTTTCGATACAGTCTGGAAACAGGGACTGATGTAGAAACTCCATAACCTAGGTATTAAAGGCAAATTATGGCAGATTATCGACGACTGCCACTGCAATACTGTAAGTGCCGTTATCGTAAACCAAAAACAATCCAGATGGTTTGATGTTCATCAAGGGGTCAGGCAAGGTGGCGTCTTGTCAGCATTTTTATACCTTGTTTTTGTCAACGAACTTTTGGACGAACTAGAACACTGCAATTCAACATCACTAAAATGCGTTCTGGATCCCAAATACGCGAGTCCTACTCTAGCTGACGATATTTCCTGCATCGCCACATCCCCAGCAAATCTCAGTCCATGATGGATATAGCTTACGCATATGCATGCAAATGGCGCTTTACATTCAACGTATCAAAATCCTGCGTTCTAAAATTCCGTGCCAAACACAATAGTGCTCCGGATAAACCAATACTTCTTGGGATCTCTGAAATACCATACGGCCAAAAATACAATCATTTGGGTATTATCATAAATGACAAAGCAAAAACAAAAGACCGCATCTTGAACGCATGCAACAAAGGGTGGAAATCCTTCTATGGCCTATCTGACATCGATATCTCGTGTGTTAACCCTCTTACTATGACTATCTCTATAAAACGATTATCCTTCCATCTGTACTCTACGGGTGTGAATTGTGGAGCAGTTTAACACAAGAGGATCACACCTTAAGCACCTTTCAACTTGGGGTTTGCAAAGCTGTCCTAAATCTGCCCAAGATCACTCGATCTGACATGTGTGAACAGCTTTTGGATATACTCCCCATCCATGCCGAAATCGACGCCAGAAAACTATTGTTTTTAGGAAGGTTATGCAACATGAGCACTCTGTGCCTCTCAAAACAAATCTTAATCTCAAGACTTTTCTCCTTCCTGACACAGCTGGTTGCAGATCCAAGGGGCTTTATTCCATATATCATCGATATTCTCAGGAAATACAACATACACACTTACCTGCTTACCTGGATGACCACAGGTATCTTCCCGCATAAATATTCTTGGAAAACTATTGTTCGTTCCGCGATCAACGACTTCCACATTCAACAGCGACAAGTACGAATGCTCATGGATCCCGACTTTGAACGTTTCAACTCCGTCTTTCAACATAACAAACCTTGCAACATCTGGTCATTCGCGGATAATGGAAGTGATATTCGAAACTTCAAGTTCACTTGCAAATTAATTGTATCGACAAAATACCTATGTCTTTCAACGTGTCATCTGTGCAATTCCACATATGAAGACATTTTCTGTCACGTAACGTTGTCCTGCGGTGCTCTCTCTGACTGCCACAATGAATGGTGGAACACAATTGTCAATTAATTTCATATTGGCCTTAAAGCAGAACTGTGTGGCCTTTGTGAGACGGATCTTTTTCTGGTTGTCCTGGGACGCGAACCACTAACCGTTTTACCTTTATCTCAGGAAAGAAACTTCAGGATTTTAAACTCGAAACTGATAGTTCGTGCATGTGCACAATACCAACGGCTATGTGCAGTGCTCTCGCGCATATGACTTGTATAGAGCAACTGTGACATTTGTATCTCTTTTTTCACTTTATGCTTATCATTTATTTGAAAATATTATTTGAATTGTACATAGATTAATGTGTTGATTAACTTAATTCTTAATTCTGTACCTCTTTAAAGAGGAAATAAATGATGAATGAATGAATACGTACACAACGTACACTAACAGATTTTGATGATCAATTATTTTTACAAAATTTACATTTAACGCAAGCATATAACAAATTAAAAATTATGATTCATTGTAAAAGGACAATTATTTTGATACCCATTGTGATACAAAAAGAATTTAAACTGAATATGATATTCAAAAAGAAAGTTTTTGTAAACATAACCAGGTAACTTGTAAACGAGGATTGTCACTGGGCCTAAATTTTAAACACAAGAACCGTTAATATCTGCAGATTATTTAAAATAAATTTTTTATTTTCCCGATGATAGATTTTTATGTGTTTTATCTATAATTGATTTTATTTCAATCATGATTTAATGCTTACATGTACAAATCTTCGAGTAACAGAGCGAAGAATTCATTACAATTTAAAAGCCGAACTCAACGGTTTAAAAAAAAAATAAAATGTGATATAAGCCTTTTTAAAAAGATCCATAAATAAAACTGCTTATAGTTTAATTACTTATAAATTAATGCAAGACTTTGGAAACGTTCAACAAAATAAATACTTTGACTTGCAAGTTCCAAACAAACTGTGCAAAATAAATGTTTAATATTATCCTAGCGACATCAGGAGCGGTGTTAGCTTAATGGTTAAGACAATGGACACCTAATCGAAAGGTCATGAGTACGCGCCCCATTTGTGTTTTTTTTTTTTTTTTTTTTTTTTATTTCGTTCTTTTTCTTATTTTTCCAAATCGAGATATGTGTGAACTCGACAATTATAATCTGTGATGACAAATCACTATAATAATAATTTTTCACCCATAAAAACAGTAATATCGACTGTGTAATGGTGGCTTAATGGTAGCTTAATGGAGTTTGGACTTTAAGCACCTGTAAGGCTACCTTAATGGTAGCTTAATGGTGACTTAATGGTGGTCTAAAAGCTACCATTAAGGACCTGTAAGCCACCATTTAGCTACCATTAAGCTACATTTAAGCATCCATTAAGGACTTTGAGATGGCTTAATGGTAACTTAATGGTGGTGTAAATGTTACTTAAAGGATTTCTGACACAATATTTATGTATATTTTTAAGTGCTAAATATAAGTCTAATAATCCCAGTAGATGTGTGACCACTCTCACCACACACACTGATAAGACGGCAGTAAAAGCTGCCTGCTGCTTTCAGCAGTCAGAGATAATGAGCTACAGGGTGTGACGTCACAAGTTCTCTCCACATGTTCTCCTCTGTTATCATGCGTTACAATTATTCAGTGTTTATATGCCTTCCTTACACACAAAAAACAATATAAATATATAGAAAGTTATGGAGACCTTGGAAGGGGATATTCCAAGTGTAGATTTTTCCCAGTCAATTGATGTAAAACCTTATCAATTTGAACCTTTGGCTGATACAAATGACAGCAGGCAAAGCACTGGTTCAGAAGAGGAGAACTCAGATATTGAAGAATTTCCCAATAGATTGGTAAACACTGATTGGTAAGTTTTTAAAATATTTATTTATTTGTTTTAAAAAATATTAAATCTTAGAATTAATTTCACAATTCATTTATTTTTTTTCATCAAATTGACCATTTTTCAGATATTTTAATTGTTTATCATTTTTTTTTAGATTGATCTCTGTCCTTTATATTTATCGGCATTTTTCATTGCATAAATACAAAATTACTTTGTTTAAAGTGATAAGTGTAATTTAATTAATTCTGCAAAATTATTGATAGAAGATCAATACACTGAGAAAAGTACATTATTTTTTGTGTAAAATAGGTGCGAGTGTGGATTTTGCATCTCTATGCCAACAGTAGATGAGTGCATTTGCTGTAAAGAAATAGGAGCAGTCCAAGCTGAAACAGAGACAGGGGACCACCAATGTATAACAGAGAGTCCTATATTTACTGCCAATTGCCTGAATAGACATGTTTTGTACGTTTCCATGTATGAATACCTGCAGAATGTTGGACCTTTAGATGATAACCAACCTCCTCATGAGTAAGTTTATTTCTTTTAACTTCATGAAACACAAAAGAATTATGACAATGAAATATCAGTTTATTTCCATTTAATTACTCTTTCTGTAATCAACAAGTATTTCTTGTACATTGTGATTTTTTTTAACTTCAGAATCTACAGGTATCTTGCATACAGAAGATTTGTGAGATGGATCTGGCATTTCCTTGGGAAAAAACACAGAAAAATTTTGCCTGCATGTGTAGTGACAAAGATACGAGAAGCATTTCCCTCAGAACATTATTGCGGGTTCAAATATGCAATGTGAAATTTCTATTCATTGTAAAAAATAATACATCTTGATAAATTACATGTATAATGTCAATATTAAAATGCAAGATAATTATATGTATGATGAATGTACATTTTACGGAACAAATTATCATAATTTTTGTAAAATATACAAATGGATTATTTCAACTGTCTTTACTTTTTAATAATAGTCCAATGCACTTGAAATGTCACGTTCGAATAAACCTTGAAGCGTGTCTGCGTATCAAGGCAGCCTTTTCAAAATGCTCAAAGTTTTGAGTAAGCGGCAGTGGTACATCTTGATTTAGCACGGCAATATCATCAGCAGCCCATCTGTATGAAGGACATTCCACACTTCTCCGTTCATGGACAGCCTGCTTAATCAAGGTCACATAATCTGAAAAAAAAATTAAATTGTAATTGAAAAGAAACTTCATAAAATAATACAATGTGTATTTACAAGTACTGTGTTCATTGACAAGTCAAATACTTTTTTACTCACTAAATGTTGGAGGAATTTTCTTAGGTTTTACAACTGCCTCCAATCCTTTCTTTGCCTTTGGATAAGAAACTGCATATTGCAGCTCACCAGCCTTTGTCATTGCCTGTTGTCTACTGCTGTTTTCATTGAAATGCAAGGCAGCAACACTCAATCTTAAATTAAAAATTTATAAACTTATGATACATAAAAGCATCAAATGCAAATTAGATCCTGTAGGATTCAGTACGTATTTCACAAGTAATAAGTGTTAGCATACATACCTTGCAAGCATAGCTGGATAGTAAAAATGGGTGCTCTTTGGTAAATAGTGGTTCACAACTGAGTGAAACACCTCGAGGCTGTATGTTTGGTGAGTTGGCGAAAGTTTGGCAATGTCCTTTAAAAGGAAGGGGCTGAGGATTATATCCTTCATTAACTTGTGTGGAACAGAACCTGCAATCGGACAAGAAGTTACAATTTATCAATGTTCTATTAGTTCAAAATATTTATCGGTATATAAAAAATTAGAAAATTATTTACAATAGAACAAATTATTAATGTTACCTTCTTTGATCCACTGTCTGCCATCTTCAATGGGGGCATGCTCACATCTAGGATATTGTTGGGAGTGATTCTCGTGTTGGTTGGCTATGTGGTTCACAATTGATTTCCACTTAGCTTGCTTGAGTTCCCCATCATCATCACAAGATGAAGCTGTCCAGTGACAGTGGTTGGCAATTGACTTAATCCATGGTCGGATTTGATGTCTGTTGACCTTTTTTGATGCTGCTTCAAGTTTTTTGGAAACACCTACATTATATAAAATGAAGGAAAATGAGTTATGAGATAAACTTTCGAACAATGTAAAGCAGTTTCCAATAAAAAAAAATTAAATTTCAGTAAATTACCTTTTGCAATGTGCCATACATCAAAATAATGGTTTTTGTCTGCATGGAAAATTCTCATATGCTTCTTAACCATAGAATGCCTGTCTGTCACAAGGGTTGTTATGTTGACATGATCTTTCAGAAATCCCATGGCTCTTTTTAATCCAGCAAGCTCCATATGGGAAGACCCCTTTACTTCATTACTCTGGAAAAAATATAAAACATAAATGTTAAGGGTTGTGACAATATACTTTTTATCAATTTAAAATAAATAAGTCAAAAGTCTGCAAGTTAACTAGATATGTATATTAAATTTTACCTGCACAAGCTGAAAATCAAGAATTTTGTTTCTCTCAAGGTCCATGATGGTATAGGTACCATATTTGGCAGAATATCCTGGGGAGTCACACCGTGCATCTCCTCCTACAACAACATCCTGGCTAGGTCCGTGTCTAATTGCCTGAAGTAGTTCTGACTGCTCAAAATCCCAGGTTCTTGTTGCAGAAGGTACAACATAGTATGATTGAAGTCTGTTGTAGGTTCTAGGTGTGAACATCTGCAGGTTCATATTATTAAACAGTTGTAATACCTTTGTAGCATTGCAGCCACTTGTTAGAATGGCAGTGGCAGTAAAAAGGTTTGACCATGGTAAAGTGTTGTGACAAGGCTGGCTGCTCCAGGTAAATTCATGGTTGTTTAAGCACTTTGATGAAGTGTAGATAAAGGTACCCCTAACAAATTTGATGATTGGGGTACATTCTGCACTGCAATACCTACAAACAGACAATAATTCTGCAAGTGCAGTTTCACTGACCAAAAACTGTTTCTCCTCCACCGGAGAGACATCTTGTCGCAACTTGACTGTGGTTGCCTGTACTTCCCCTTCACCATCCTCATCGTCATCAGCCTCAAGGTCAGATCCTTCTGTTGGAATATAAAAATCATCTGATTCTTCCTCATCTTCACTGTCCGATTCATCACTATAATCATCAACCTCACTGTAGTTTGCAGATTCTTGAGAAAGAGATAGATATCTAGTTATTTTGGAGTCTGTCTGTGTTGCAAATGAACGTAGCTTGTTCTTTGTCGCTAAAATACGCTCGTCAGTTTGATGAAATCTTGTACGTTGCGGAGGGCGAAGTTCAGCCTGTACTTTTTTGTTTTTTGTTTCAACACTTTTGGAGGCAACAGCACTTGCAGTATCCTTTGGTTTTTCTGTGTCTTTACTCTTTTTCAGTGCTTCCTTAATAATCTATAATTAATATAAAAGTACTGTTGCTTAGCAGAGATATGCAAAATTTGGTCTTTAAAAAAAAAGAAGTTTTTTTTATCCAATTTTATATCAGTAATAAAATTCAAGATTAAAAAAAGTACATATATTTATTTTTTAAAATCAGCTTAAAAATTTAATATGTCATCTATTTTATAAATGATTTTCATGTATCCAGTGTAAATAAAATTGGAGGAAATTCCAATGACAGTAAAGCAAACAAAATATTGGATAAAGAAAATGATATATCAGCTCAATTTTTAATAAATTTTCTATTGAAAAATGTCAAAATTGTAAATTACTAGATTTTCACTCAGTGACAGTATAATACATAGGCCTATGAATATAAACAAAAAAGTAAGTACCTCTGCTTTCTGTCGCTTTGCATACGCTCCACGGACCTTTGCTGTTGTCTGTTCGCTACACAGCTCTTCTTCGGTCAAAAGTGGCACATCTGGGACTGCATTTATTCTCAAACGTTTCCTAAATGTTTCCTGAAGTCCCATTTCACCGAGAAGCTTGGGGTCTTGTTGGAAACACTTGGGCGAAAAGTGATCAGAGCATAATCTGTGTCCTGAAGTGGGAGTAAAGTCCTTTCGCCGACAATAATGAGCCCACTGCTTTCTGAGATTAACATCTTTAGGAAAAGTGAAAAAACTTATCCCTTTGCCCTTTTGTGCCTTATTATTACATCCAAATGCAGCGCAATAGACCATTTTACATCATGTACATGTGCTTTCGCTAATAGTAAACAAAGAACTGTGGGGAACTCAAGAGTATCTATGACGTAGAGCCTCGTTATCAGATAAGAAATATGCATATTCTGACCTCCCGGCTTATCAGCATCACACCGCGGGATATACACAAGACTCGATAGAAACACGTGTTTATTTATGTTATTATGATATCGATTGGCATTTTTGACAGGGAAACAAAAGATTAAGAAAATCATGTCAGAAATCCTTTAAAGGTGCTAAATGGTAACTTAAAGACAATCATTAAACCACCATTAAGGACCTATAAGCCACCATTAAACCAGGCTTAAGGGGTGTGTTTCATCTTGTGTAAACGACTGCTTAATACGAGCTTCAATAAATTGTCTGTAGCTTAGATCCGCCACCCGGAAACGCCATCATACCCATGGTTTTGCTAATTCATGGCTATTTCAAGAAAATTGAATTTAGACTTTAAAGTTTATGCACGATAATTAATTACTACACATGTGAGATCTATATATATACTGTGAGGAAAAAGAAATGCAGCGTAAAATATTTAGGTGAATAAAATTTCTTTTTCTCTTTATTTTTTTCACTACTAGTATTCCTATATAACTTTTAAAAACATCCTTAAAACATCTTTATCAGATGTTAGGGAATGTCTTAAAATCCTTCTTCCTACTACTCAATACATTCTAATGAAGAAGGATATGGAGATAACGAACAGTATTCAATTTCAAAGTCCGTTAAACGATACAAAATAGGAACAGTGCAAACACGGACCTCTGAAACAGAGGTGGGCTCAGGTACCATGGAGGAGTGAGCATCCCCTGCTGACCGGTCACAACTGCCGTATGCTTCTTGTCATGATCAGTAAATAACGGAAAAATTCGTAGTCTATTAAGTGTAAAAAAAAAATGGACTTACAATGAAAAACGTCAGTCAGCATTTGACTCAATGATAAATTGTAATTGCTGACAAGGTCATTGTATCGGCACTTTCAATGTCTTAGTAATGAGTAGCGAAAAAGGCTTGGTTGAATTTTCACTAGAATCCGCAGTATAGCTTTTTTTATAAGGATTTTTTTGAAGTTTCGGATATATATATATATATATATATATATATATATATATATATATATATATATATATATATATATATATATATATATATGTCATGATAGTCTTTGCAGGGAAGGAAGTAACTTATGACGTCATAGTAAGACTACGTTACGTAAAAGTTAGGGAAAATTAAATAGGATAATAATGGACAATAAATCATGCTTATCTCAGTCTCAAAAAACAATTATGATTGCTGGTATACAAAAAAGATAATTTCTTTATGTTAATGTTTGTTCAGTTTTGGTGAAAAAAGGTTTATAAAATAGTTTTCTTTAGCTAGTCTCATTGCAGTAGATTCGGTCCTAAGTTTATAAAAGGGGAACACACAGTAGTTTCCTTTGGAACAAATGTCAAAATGTTCACTGCATGGCGTGTTTCTAAGGCTTGGGTTATTAATTTGTTGACGATGTACGCGCATGCAGGTGGTTAATTGGATCCCGGTTTGGCCGATGTATTCCTCTCCACAGATGTTACACGTAATACAATATATTAGATTTTTGCTCATGCAGTTCCTATTTTCATTGACATAAAATGATTTTCCACATTTAAAAATGATCCGGATGTTTGTCTATCTAGTAACTAACTGCTTCCAGTCCCAAAGTATGTGGGATATTTGTGTACAAACTTATAACATCAAAACTGACGAGAATAATGTTTGGGTGTACATTTTGGGGAATATAATTAAGAAAATCCATATCATCTCTTACGAAGCTGGGTGATAATTTGCATAGTGGTTTCAATAAAATGTCCAATAAATTACTCAGTCTTTGGGTGCTTGATGCAGGTCCAGCGATGATCGGACGTATTTTAAGGTCAGCAGGTTGGGATATTTTTATATATGCGTCATCACAATTTTTCACAGCTTCCTGGATCTCCTTAGATTTGTGGACTTTTGGTAATCCGTAGAAATTACTGGATTTCAATTCAAAGTTAGTTAAGAAATCAATTTTATTTTTTGTTAAATTGTCGGCATATTTTTTAGTTAATTTCTCAACCTTGAGCATTGTGTGACGATTTTCGTTGGATGGTTGTTAATTTTCTATAAAACCGACATTTCTGAAGTTCGTTCAGTACCATTTCCTTATTATGGACAAACCCCATCATAAGGAAATGGTACTGAACGAACATCAGAACTGTCGGTTTTATAGAAAATTAACAACCATCGAAGATCGTCACACAATGATTAACACGAAAGAGATAGTAAGAGGTAGTAAATATTCATTGTCATATTTAATCATTACAACGTTAAAACGATATCTTAATTGAAAAACATCTTGGACAAACAAACCAAATCTGACATAAGGGATAACAAGCTAATGCAGAGAATCTTAGGGAAAAAGTAAACCATGCGCAGGGGGTGGGTCGGGGGGGGGGATCCCCTTGATTGAATTTGTAGAATTAATAAATGTATACTGAAGCAAATAAAATATGCCAATATGGATATAAAGGTTTGATTGATTACTGTAAACCAATTATTATACGCGTCATTTTTTATTCGCGACTGACCGCTGGAGAACTAATCCGCTACGATTTATTTCCGAGAACAAGTGGTCATATTTTTTTTATTTCCACAAGTATTTAATTTTTTGCATCAAAATATTTTATATCCGCTCATAAACTAGGTAAAATGCTACCGTAAGTACTGCTGATGTATTATTTAAGACATTCTGTGGATTGCGTCTTTTAAAATCTTATATCCGCACCTAAAGTAGTAAAATGTTACCATGAATATACTTTTTACGCATTATTCACGAATGAAAATCGGTAAAAAAATCGAGGAGATTTTAGTTGGTTTAAAACTCTCAAGTGTCTCTTCTGCGCATGCGTGAGCTGAAGGAGAGTCATGATTTTTCGAGCTCTGAATATAAGATATTTTTGTTAGAAAAAACAAACTTTGGGAGATTTATCTTCATGATTTCAACTGCGTGTTATGAGGCCTAAAATCTGCAGGTGGATCCAGTGGTTCTAATGGAAATAAGTCTAAGAAAGGGAAGAAAAGAAAAGAAGGGCCAGATTTGAGCAGTGAAGCGCAGCAAAGAAAAGTAAGTGTTATGAGTACGTCTCACGACAATGTAGAAACACAAAGAATCTCGCAACCGTTATTCTCAACTCCACTAAATAATCAACAGAGTATACAGAACATACAAAATAATACATACCAAATTCCACAAATGTCACAAGTGCCTGTAATGAATTACAGTTTCTCACCTGTAGGACCTGTTCATCCTGTACAACAGGTACAACAATATCAGGGTGGATTACAGCCAATTGATTATGGTAATAAAATAGACAATTTGGCCAAAACATTGGACAAAGTTTGCCAAAAATTGGATAAACTTGATCAAATTGAATCCAGAATCAGCAAATTTGAAGCAACAATGAATACTGTCACAACTGACGTGCTTGAATTGAAAACAAAAATGTCAGATATTGAAAAAAGCATTAAGTTCACTAGTGATAAATTAGATGAGAATGAAGAAACATCTAAAGAGATAGTGGCAGAAATGAAGAGATCCAAAAAAATACATGAGAATTTAGAAAAAGAGAGTGAGGCACTTAGAGAACAAATGACTATTATGACAAATAAAATGTTAGATCTAAAAGACCAGCAAAACGAATTACAAGCAAGGTCCATGCGTGATAACCTTATATTTGTGGGAATTAATGAACCAAAAGATGAAACATCACAACAGTGTGAACAAGCATTACAAGCGTTCATATCTGAAAAACTCGGAATAACGGATGAAATTCCATTTCATCGAGTACATCGTATGAAGCAAGAGGCAAAATCTCGGGCAATTGTGGCAAAATTTGTAAATTTTAAGGATCGTGAAAAGGTCCGAAAAACTGCAATCACGGTGATCACTGATCTTCGGGAACGAGGTCCGCGCGATCAAGGCAACCCAGAATTCAGTGTATTCGAACAATTTCCCAAGGAAATAAACGATAATCGGAAAATATTATACCCGCACTATAAAGAGGCTAAACGACAGGGCATCAAAGCGCAACTGGTATATATGTTATATGTAATGCTCACGCATGTATGTATATCTGTTATAATAATATGAATGATCTCTATGTTGTTAAAATAACAACGAAAGAGATGTTAATAAACTGGTAAAAGTACCTTGTGATAATTGGGTAATTGATGCTTTACAAGATCTACATAGCCAAAGGGCAATTATTATAAATGGTTGGGACGGAGCAGGACTGGGCCATAATTAGTCGTAATTAACCAGGCTATCTCTAACTCGTCTGTTACAACAAATGAACAATAATAACAGAAGCTGAAATATTTATTGACTTTTTAATCGTTTTAGACAAATATTTTTAGATTTTCCACTCGTTTATATATTTTTCTGAATGTTTGTAATAAAACTTCAACTGCTTCTAGAACACTTAAATTCTTCCGTGATTACTTATAGAACCGTCGGGATCGGTACTCAAAAAAGGGCAAATAACTCTAATCATAACATGGGAAAATGAACAACTGGTTCGCGACGATAAATATATCCGCGAGCAGAGGTTACTCGCGGAACTCGCGAATATTTATCGCACGCGTATAATACTTGGTTCACACATGTGAAGCGAGAGACATACCACTAGGCCACGGAGCCGCGCTATCATCGCGAAAATTATATACAAACATTAACTCTTAAAGTCACATATACATGTATATATTCAAGTTCGATATACTGAGTATTGTCAAAATTTTACACAAAGCATGTTGTCTAATTTACCCTTTATTAAACAGTTCTAATAGATGTAATAAGAATATAAATTCCGCCGAGAACCTGTTTTATACGTAACAACTCTCCTTCATGCCCCTGTGCTAAAAATAGCGACATGTAATACAATCAATACTAACAAGCTAATTCAGAGAATTTGTGTCCCCCGCTTAGGGAAAAGTAAACCAATGCGCAGTTCGGGGGGAGGGGGGGGGGTTGGTGAGTGGGGGTTCGGTTCCCCTTCACTGAATTTGTAGAATTATTAATAGCCATTCTCTGTAACCACTTAAACTTCGTTGCCACGCATGGTCACCGATTTTGATGAAACTTCACCCATGCTTAGTACTTGACACCAGAAACAAATATCAAACAAAATTTCGTTGCTATGTGTCTTGGTTGCTATGGCAACAGCCGGAAAACGTTGAAAAAATCAAGATTTTCAGCTATTTTAAATCTTGACTGTGGCTTAATAAAAAATAGAAAAAGCAAACAACCCATTCTAACAAAAACATGACACCTTGACGTCACTTATACTGTAAAGAAACTGTTAAGAATATATCTCTAAGTAAGTGGTAACCAAGGGTACATTTGGAATATATTTAAAATGCTTAAATATGCTGAAAAAAAACTCCGTATTCACTAATGGTAGGTGTTACATGCTCAAACTCAATCAACGACTTGAAAAAAACAATGAAAATGTTTGACCTTAAGTATATAAGTATAAGCAATATTATTCTATAAATAACTTTTATGGTTGCCATGGTAGCACAGTGTTACCATGCAAAACCTGTAACTAAGATTGGGTCAATGCTACTGTCTTGAGGAAAAAGATGAAAATCCAGGACTGGCAAATATGCATCCTTAGGACCTTGCAACACCAAAACCATAAGAAAAATTGTGTATAATTGCTACTTTATAGTGTTACCATGGAAACAAAGTACCAGTGCTGAAAAGTGAATTATTTTTCGCTGCATTAAGAATTAAATTGCAATTTAATCAAGAAACAAATTAAAGGACTCAGCTTGAATAGTACTTATCTGTTAGGACTGAAGTTGAATATCATATATTGATAAAATTTGATGAACAAACAACACTGTTGTTATGGTTACCAAGAAGGGAAAAAGTTCGATTTTGTGAACTTAATATTATATCCTGTATGCCAACTTCTTGCATCCACTTAGAGATTGGATGATAGTCGAAATTAAAAGTCAAGTTAGCTGTTAATAAATATCAACCATAAACGTTTTGGGAATCTACATATAAGGGTACGTATCCAAGGAAAGAAAATATTTTTCAGGTTTTTAAGCATATATTTTCTGCTTATTTCCATAGCAATGCTCTGTTTAAAGAATCTAATCTGATTTTTTTTTTTTCAAATAGGAAAAATTGGAGCACACCAACATCTTATAAAATTGATGATTAGTTATGAGGAAATGTGTTTTTTCAAAAGATAGGATCAAATTTAAACATACATACTGTTACTTTGAAGGCTCTCTGTGGTATAAAAACCTTGGCAACCATTGCCAACAAAAATGAAATATCATATTTTGTTCTTGGTATATGTTTCAAGGCTCTTTTTCTATTATTTGATCACATTTTATCCTATAATTGCTTTTTATTTTTACGTGTATGACTTTATAAAATTCAATGAATATTTTTTTTAATTTTTGAATACTTTGTTACCATAGTAACGTATGTAATACTCAGTAGTTGATTTACCAAACATGTTTATAATGCATTTGAGACATCTGACCATCAACTTTTGGAAACAGTCATTGCAAATTGTTTACTTTGCCGCAAACGTAAACTATTGGGCTCTAAAAATGTTTAAAAATGCCATTTTTCGAACTTTAAGACATGTTGCCATGGTAACTATAAAGCATAGCAACCAATTCTTGCCTGGTTTCAGTTTAGGGTATCAATGACTGTTATCATAGAGAGTTTGGAGAAATTCTGAGACTATGCGTGCCACAGCTCCTATATAAAATTTCAAATCATTACAGAGAATGGCTCTTAAATGTATACAAATATATATACTGTAGATCACTTAATTTTCGCGACACCTTATTTTCGCGAGATAGTCATCGAATCTTTATTGGAGAGACAAAATTTTCACGAATTGTGGTCATTGCTCTATATAATCTTAAGGAATTCTTTTATACGCGAGAATGAAATTTTTGCTAGCATACTGTCTCGCGTAATTACGCGAAAATAAATTCCTCGCGAATAAAAAGTGATTTACAGTATACAATGTAAGCAAATAAAATATGCCAATATTGATATAAAGGTTTGATGGATTATTCTTTATTATGTGTGTAGAAGATTCTTTTTTATATGGAATATTTATCACACTGTAATGATGATATTATGAGTTTGTACAAGGCAGACCTTATTAATTTTTCAATTCACATGCTGAATACTATCGTTTAGGAAAAAAAAAAGATTGATTGATTGATTGTATGTTGTTTAACGTCCCTCTCGAGAATTTTTCACTCATATGGAGACGCCACCACTTGCCGGTGGAGGGCTACAAATTTCCTATGCTCGGCACTCGGGGCCTTTGAGCAGTGAGGCGTGCCAGCACCTACAGCGACACGGGACCTCGGTTTATACGGTCTCATCCGAAGGACCGGTCTCCACGTCCCACAGTGGGATTCGAACCCGCGACGTAAGGATTGACTCCTTACTTCGCGACTCTAGAGCAGACGCTCTAACCACTAGTAAAAAAATAAAAGTATTTAGAAAAAAATGGACCGTCCGAGATGCGATCCCGGGCCCTCTCACATTTGAAGCGAGAAACATACCAGTAGACCACGGAGCCGCTGTAACATAGCACAATTGTATACAAACATGAAGTGACATACATGTATATATTCACGTTCAATATTGTCAAAATTTTACGCAATGCATGGTGTCTAATTTAACCTTTATTAAACAGATCTAATAGATGTAATAAGAATATAAATTCCGCCGAGAACCTGTTTTAATTCTCCTCATGACCCTGTGATAAAAATAGCGACATGTAATACAATAAATACTAATAAAACAAACGGGGCAGGGCACTTTGAGATGAATGAAAGAGATCCTAGGGAGTTTTAGTATAATATTACATAGCAAAAGCTCAAAATCTTTTTGAAATATCGCCCGAAAATGATAGTGTTTCATACAAACAGAATGTGTAAATTTACGACCTTGAACTTTGACCTTTTGACATCAAAATCAATACCAATCTTCCTTAGATCACAGGGAGTTGTTATGTAAAATATCATTGCAAAAGCTCAAATTGTTCTCGAGATATCATCTGGAAACGAAAGTGTTATAACAGACAGAATTTGCTTATTTATGACCTTGGCCTTTGACCTTTTGACCTCAAAATCAATAGGGTCTTTTTTATTCCATAGGGAGTTGCTATGCTAAGTTTCATTGCAAAAGCTCAAAGGATTCTCGAGATATCGTGTGGATACGAAAGCGTTACAGACAGATTAGAAAGACGGACGGACGGACTGACAGCTAGACGGACAGACGGACGGACAAACCCAAATTAATATCCCCCACTTTTCAAGCAGAGGACAAAAATAATTCAAGCACATACAGGTATTACAGGTTTGTATTACAGTTATGCGTGCTATATAAATTTTTGAATAGAGGAACAAAAATAATTCATGCACATACAGGTATTACAGGTTTGTATTACAGTTATGCGTGCTTTATAAATTTTTGAATAGAGAGACTTTAAATTATCGTCTGCTAGTTTAAGTTTACCTGGCATTTTATCGACTTGATCACGCCACTAGGATATAATTGATATAGAACATTCTATATATTTCCCTCTGTGACAAATCACCACATGCTCTAACTAAACAAACACGGATAGTGCATTTTTCGTTAGGCTACGTTCTTCTGAAGTGTCTGGTTGAATTGCTGCTAGATGATATTGAATGTATTACTGTGAATCAGGATACTTTTGTTGTTTTTTTTATTACAGGAGCAGTGTTATTAGAAAAAGAATTCATTTAGTTTATGCATCTATGGCTGAAAGTAAATCAGAAGAAGAATGTACTTTTTGTTCAGAATATGGATCAAAATTTTACTGTTTCACTTGCCGTAGATTTCATTGTGATAATTGTTGGAAGGAACAGATGGTTCAGGGTAATGACCGTACAATTAAACATAGACTAAAACGTATCGAGATCGCGTGTGCAAATCATGTTGCTGTTGACAATTTTTGCAAGCATTTCTGTGAGGCATGTGACATACCTGTGTGTCTGCACTGCATTTTGAAACACATAGGTGAAAAACATTCCTTAATTAGATTAGAAGATGCAATTAAAAAAAAACATAATACCATACAAAATTATAAAGACATGATAGGTCTTGAAATAAAGAAAAGACAAAGGGAACTAAATGGATTATCAAAAACTGAAAATGTTTCTTGTGAAAGATTTTTGAATGCAGTTGAAAAAAAAATAATTGACCAAGTAAAAAAGTCGATTTCAGAAATGAGAGATAATGCTAAAAAGAATCTTTTAAACAGTCCTGCTAAAATCGAGAGAAGGAAACAACAACTGGATTCTGCAATTAAAGAACTGGAATTAAAGATGGAAGAGCCCGATAAGTCAATTGAAGATATTCTTGCATTTAATGATGACAACTGGAAAACAAACTGCTACGGAAGAAACTTCACTTCATTTGCAATAATTGACGATTCAGTTGACAAAATGATGTCAGAAAAAAGGTCAGAATTAGAGGATTTTATTGGCACAGTTTTCCAGGAAACTTATGGTAAATTTTATCCAGAAAGAGTCATTGAAGAAAAAGAGATGTTGAAATCGATACAAGTGAAGGAAATAAACACTGAAGTTGAATTTCTAATGGATATTGTGTGCGCACCTAGAGGTGCGATGATCTTTAGTGCACAAAATAATGCATCATTATTCCGAATCGAACGTGAAAGAAAATCAGTGTTACCGTGTTTGGGATATAACCCAGAATACATTGCCATTTCGCCGTCCTCAGATGTACTTTTGTTTACCTCTCTGAAGGACTTGTTTAAAACAACCATCGCTGGAAATATGAAACCAGAAAAGTTCGGCAAATTAGATTCTTTTTGGGACTTAAATGGATTAACATTTTCAGACAACGAACATGTTTACTTGTGTTTAAAAAGTGAAAAAGAAAAAAGGGGAGCAGTCGTGTGTCTTAATATGAGTGGAGACAATGTGGGTGAATATTTCCAAAACAAAAAGGGAGATAATCTTTTTGTTAACCCCATTTACATTGCAGAAAACAAAATGAGCGATTGCGACATATGTGTATCAGATAATTATTCAGAGGTGCGTTGCATTAAAAAAAACAAAGAAAAAAGATTTGTTTACAAAGGAGTGGGAAAAGAAGATTTAAATCTACGCGGTATTGACTGTGATCGCTATGGAAACATAATTGTTTCTGATTTCAGAAACAACAATCTCCATATCGTTAATAAGCGTGGAATCTGTATACGCCGTGTTGGTGAAGATTCTTTGTGTAAGCCAACTGGGTTATGCATCGACCTGCAAGGAAACATATGGGTAGCCGAATATGAAGGTGGAAAAATTAAAGTGATTGAGAAATGTGCGGAACATATAATCAGTAGATAAAATGAATGGCAAAATTTGTGTTTTAAATGAATTTATAATTACTGACAAAATAAACAGAAAGTATTCCGTCTTATTACTCAAATTTATTTCTTTGTCAGTTTTGTTTAGGATGAATTAACAACAGGATTGAATTAATAAAAGTTTGGTCTGTTAAAAAAAGTGTTTCCCGAATACATGTAACTTTCTTGAATGAGTGATTGTTACACAATTTATTTTGTTAGTTCGATAATTTTTCATATCTATACCTCTAGCCAAGGGTTTCCGAACCAAAAACTACTCTTTCGCACGTTGTAGAGTATTTGAATCTTGGCTAGCGATAAAGCAGTAACCCAAATGAAAGGTTATCAATTTTAATCTTCAATCTTCACACACCGTTCACGGTAGCCTAGTGGTAGAGCGTTCGCTTCGTGATCGGGAGTCCGGGTTCGATTCTCGTTCCCGGCGCCGCGTCAAACCTTAGACGTAAAAATAGGTAGTGAATGTTCCTTCGCCAAGCGCTCGGCATCAGAAGTGAAAGTCACGGGTCTTTCGGATATGACCTTAAAAACGTAGGTCCCGTGTCACGGCAGGCGCTGGCACGATAAAGAACTCTCACTGCTCAATGGCCCTGAGTGCCGAGTATAGGTCTAAATTTGAAGCCCTTCACCGGCATACGATGACGTCTCCATATGAGTGAAAAATTCTCAAGAGGGACGTTAAACAATATACTATCAATCAATCAATCTGCACACAGGACCGCTGAGCATTGAGGGGTCTTTATTGTGCAATTACCTTCCGTGACGCCTCGATTTTTGGCACCGTGTATTTCATGGACTGGAGCCTTGGAATGGAGTTATGGAGTGGAGTTTAGAGTGGAGATTGGAGTCAATTTTTGGAGTCAAGCAAATTTGTGTTTGTTAATAGAAATAGAGTTCAGAAGAAACTAGTTTTATCACCTAAAGCATAAATATTAATGGAATACACGTCCGTTTTCTGTTTGTCCATAGATAACACCTTATCTTGAACTGTGGGATGAATAGACATATTAATAAGTAGTCAAGACAATCAAAAACACACAGATGACATCATGACATAACCTTTGATAGAATTTTTAATAATATTTCTTACTTTCAAATGTGGTGATATTTGAACCATAAGGAATAAGTTTTTGATATTTAGCATATTAATTTTTTGTTAAAATAATTTTTTCACATATTTCTTAACATTTAACTTTTTCTTCGGCTTTAGATATATATATGAATAAATGAAATAATACTTATTACATTTTTAAATTTATCTTTTTATCCCTCTGCGCCTTTTCTTTTCATGTCATCGTAATAGAAGATTCGAAGAGGGTACAGTGTATTAAGTTTTTGCCTTGTCCGTATATCTGTCTGTTAGTTTGTTTATCAGCACAAACTTTAATCCTATCCAAAGCTTTTGAGAGGGTAAGGCTATGGCTTTCATATGTGTATTTCATGTGACAAAACTTTTCTTCTTGGATTACCAAATTTGACCACTTGACCTTGAACTTAGGGTTTGACCCACTTTTACGAATATTTACTTTAACCATAGCCAGTATTTTTTTTTTATTAGGTGATGCTAGGGCTTTCATACTTGACAAGTGCATCCACTGTAACAAGACCTCTCATTAGGTATAAAATATTTGTACGTTTGACCTAAGAATTTGACCAGCTTTTTAAGATATCTTGACCATAACGTCTGAACTGTTAGTACTAATGATTTCATGCTTTTCATGTATATTCCTAATGACAAGACCTTTACTGGGTATGACAATATTTGACCTTTTGATATTGACCTTAACGATTGACCCACTTTAAAACATTTCAATTTAGCCTTATATAGCAAATGTTTAGAAAACTTTAATTTTTCACATTGTAAATCATCCAAAAGTTAAACAAAGTTTTTTTTTTACTTATCACAACTTTGACAATGATATTTGTGTACATGTATAGTTAAAAATTTTCAGATTTAAATAAAAAAGTAAATGTTCTTACCTTTAATAGCCTCAGCATGTGTTTTCTTCAAAAACATCTTCTTAGACATTTCCAATTAGAGAATTAACAATTCAAGGATTGTTTTTAGCTAACAAACACACATTAATTTTGACTGTGAGCAAGCACTCTACCGGTTACCTCTCATATATGTTTGCTCTTTTTTGGGGGGTTCCTTTAGGTTTTAATTTTTATAAAAAAAAAAAATTCACTTGTATTGCTTGCATAAATATTAATTACACCTCTGTTTTCCCCGAGCTTATTTGGATTAAAGCCGCTTGGTCCGATTCTAATCACTAAAAATATATATTCGTTTTTCTTTTTGAAAAATAATTGTCCATAAATTATTTCAACTTTTGTCAAATTATATCCCCAAAGTCTTTTTCTTTTTAAAGATATCAAAATTCAAAAGATAAAAAAATAATTTTTGTTAGGTCACACAAAAAATAATCCTTTGTTGACATTTGTTGACATTGCGTGAAATCACCTTCGAAAAATTAAATTTATCGCTTACATGTATAACTCATGAAGAACAAACCCGAGCATTTTTTCCACAACAAAGTGTACATGGCCAATATTCTCCCTCGTTACTAAACTCCTTTTTTAAAAAATCTTTAAAAATATCGGATTTTTCTTTAATCTGTAAATATGCATATTAATATAAGAATTACTATGGATAATATTCAATTAATTCCTTAATCTTTAAAAGATATATCATGACTTAGGATTCTACCAATGGAAAAAAATACTCGGGTTTGAATTCTCTTCATAATTAGATATAACCGATAAAAGTATTTTTTTTCAAAGGTGACTTCAAAACAGATCTTAACTTCTCGTCAGGAACTGCTGTTTGTCAGCAAGGGTTTTGGTCTATGTTTCCCATCTAAGGATTGTTGTAGTAAACTTTAAATCAATCATATAATTAATCTTTATATTATCTATGTAATGACGTACTTCAATTGTTTAAGATAATATGTGCCTGTTTCGGATGAAGCGGTTTTTAGGTATTCTGACATTACATAGACTAAAAATAAACGGTCCTTCGCCACAGTTTAATCAGCATCTCTGAAATTGTACGAACAAGCCTGACCTTTCACTTCGTCTCAAGAGTAAAAAATCTGTTAATAATCTATATAGATATTATTTTACTTTATTCTTTCTAACTCATCATTTAGAGTTTATCAACCAGATGTGGGTACCGGTAAAGGAATTTGACATTTTAACAGGTCGGAGAGAATACTCGAAATCGGGTATTATCCTTGAAATCGCGTATAATACCCGATATTAGGGTATCATTGAATATTCCGTGTAACTTTTTATAAAAAACTAAAGAATAAAGAAACGGCGCATTATGCCAATTACTGTTACTTGAACTTCAGTACCTTGTGGATTTATTTTTATGAAAACTTTATACGGTTGTCAAATAAGTTGAAAAGCACACGACAAACACTTCTGGAGTAACAAAGAGGACACAATGGCGTTATTATTTTTCAATATAATTTGTAAAAACAAACAAGAAAACATTGATGTAACCATCAATAGTTGCCCGTGAAATATATAAAGTAAACAACGAAGATGAATCTTGATCAACAAATCGCTTCGATATGTGTAAAAAGGCATCCGTCTTATTGATGGAGACGATAGTCGCAAATATTTAAAAAAAAAAAAAAAAAAAAAAAAAAACAATAGTCATGTAGTCGGATAGAAATTAATCAAAACCGATACCATTTTAAACTTTATCAATTCCTCAAGTAAATGTTGGCTGTTTAAAATATAAATTGAAATTAGATACACCCATCATTTATGTTTAAAAATGTATTAATTTTCAATTTTAGAATATAAAACGCGAACTGTGCAGAGTACGTTTTTATCCGAAAAGTAAAATTCGATGTTCTAAAAAAGGGACCTCTCGTTGTTTCGATAGTGAATGGTAAGTAACTTTATATATTTAATATGAAAAACATATACATATTTACAGATTCACTTTATGGAAGTAAATATATTATGTATCTAGTAATTCATAAACGGAAAGAACATTCTGATTAACAATCTTTTCAATGTTTAGAAAACCTTTAATTCTACATAACTACTCCCACCCCAATCCCCTTACACCAACACTTAAGCATATATGCATAGAGCAGCCCGGTCCTCCGGGCTGCAATAACGACCCTTCGTATGTCTTTATTTCCCATTAAAGTATTCCATATACTTAATTTTCTAATTTGTGCACTATTCACAAAATGTGAAACTTTAAAGAAATTAAACGACTAACGCCGTGTTATGTATCTTTACTGAAAAATGTATGGCGTCCCTTTCACTTGAAATATGAATTATTCCTAACAGTTAGAGAGTACAGTGTAAGCGAGTCATAATTGTATATCTCTGACATAATAGAATACCAACGTCATTATAAAGAAGAAAATAAAATAAGATTAAATAAATTCCTACGGGAAAACAGATTGGAAATAGCTAATTGAAGGCGAGTATCTTTTTTATGTCATTTTTTTTTCAAAAGACACCGAAAATTTTTTTGGTTGCATTTTAATCGATACAAGATATGCTATTTTACCTTTGTTTTATGCATTTGTGTGAATATTGAGAGCGAAAAGTGTTGGGAACAGGATTTTCTTGTTTTTTTTTTGTTTTTTTTTGGGGGGGGTGGGGTGGGGGGGTTATAAATAAAAGTCAATGTGTACATCTTTTCATAAGCTTACAGTACATTGAATTTCTCAATACAGATCGAGGTACAGTCATATTGAAATATGAATTACATAGTCAAGTTTTCACATTTCTTATTTTTTTACGTTTATGAACATGTTAATGAACAAACTGAAATAATAGAGTGTTCTTGGAAACTCTTGTCTTACTTTGAGAATATAATTCCTCATCAGACATTGAAATTTCATAAAAATTGTAGCCACTTCCTTTCTTTATGATACTATTTTGAAAGACAGGGTAAATTTAACTATTTTACCTTCTATATTTTTTCATATCGCTATCTTATGC